CTTTTGTATATTTATACAAAGTCAGCTTATTGCCCCCACAAACCGGGTCCTCATTTCACCTACCTTAGAAAGGATGGAAGGCTGAGTCAACCTTGAGCCTTAGCGAGATTCGAACCCTGCAGTAATTGCAGGCAGCTGGTCTTAATAAGCTTAATAACAGGGTGCCTTAAACCCCTGTACTACCAAGGCTCTTTTTAATGTTTTAATGTTTAATGTTTTTATATATAGCTTTTAAATGCATTGTAAGCCGCCTTGAGTCTTCAGAGAAAGGCGGCATACAAGTTGAACAAATAAATAAACTACTCCTCCTCCTCCTCCTCCTCCTCCTCCTCCTCCTCCTCCTCCTCCTCCTCCTCCTCCTCCTCCTCCTCCTCCTCCTCCTCTCTGTAAACCCCACTCCCTTCTAGCACTGATAATGTTAGCTAGTTGACTCATGAAACCAAGAAACTTGGTCTTGGGTGACCAAGAAAGTCACCAAGCTCAGAGCGCACCAAGAACCCTACAGTCCTCCTCCTCCTCCTCCTCTCTGCAAGCCGCACTCCCTTCTAGCACTGATGATGTTACCTAGTTGGGTCATGAAACGTCTGCAAGAAAAGCACCAAGCTCAGAGAGCACCAAGGACCCCAAAGTCTTCCTCCCTCCCTTCCATCCTCCTCTTCCTCCTTCTCCTCCTTCTCTTCCACCCTTCCATCCTATCTTCCTCTTCCTCCTCCTCCCCTTCCTCCTCCTCCTCCAACCCCACTGCCTTCTAGCACTGATGATTTTACCTAGTTGGGCCATGAAATGTCTGCAAGAAAACCACGAAGCTCAGAGAGCACCCAACATACTCCTCCTCTTCCTCCTCCTCCCCCCCCCCCGCCCACATGGACCCATGAATTGTTGCCAGAAAACCGGGGGTAGCAGTCCATTTGGTCGCACCCATCGTTTCCCCTCCTCGTCTTTACTGCAAAGCCGAGTAAAAATCAACGTGATTTTTTGGGGGGGTAAATAAAAACATAAACGTGACAAATTTTGCAATAGCCGTTCGCTCTATTAGGAAGAAAAGAACACTGTGGTTAAACGACATGGTATTTAAGCAACAGCAGCCGTATTTATGTAAAACTCGAGCTTTGGATAATTAACTCCCATTTTTTAAAATCCTGGAGAAAACGACTCCCACAAAGCAAGAATTTTTTTTTTTCTCCTGAAAGAAATGTCTTCCAGCCTCTTCGTTTGCCAGTCAATTATATCAATTAAGCAGGAGCAATTATTAAAGATAACAGTTCTGCGGCCTGTTAAACACCGACTGGCGCAGATGTTCCTGCCAAGATAAGCAAATATGCCATGTGTGGAAGCAGACCCAGGAAAAATTGGGATGCTTAGAACATCTGTCGCTCTCCCACTGCCAAAGTAGTCCTCAACTTACGACCACCATTGAGCCCAAAATGTTTACGTGGCTGAGAAACCTCTTATGTCAGTTTGTAAACATTTTGGGCTCAATGGTGGTCGTAAATTGAGGATTACTTTGGCAGTGGGAGAGCGACAGATGTTCTAAGCGTCCCAATCTTGGGGATTTACAAGCTTGTAAATCGATTCCTTGCCACATTTGTTAAGTGAATTGCTGCAGTTGTTAAATGAATAACCCAGTCGTTAAGAGAATCCGGTTTCCCCCTTGACTTTGCCTGTTAGAAGGTCGTAAAAGGGGAATCACGTGACCCCCCGGGACGCTGCCACCGTCATAAATGTGAGTCATTTGCCCAAGCATCCGAATGTAAATGACGTGACCATGGGGGATGTTGCAACTTTTGTAAGCATTGAAAAATGGTCATAAGTCGTAACTTCAATGATGTCGTAACTTCGAACGGTTGCTAAGCAAACTGTTGCAAGTCGAGGACTCCCTGTCATTTACTTCCCACTTTTCTTCCCTCTCTTCGGTGGCAGAAAGGTAATACAGGTAGTCCTCGCCTTACGACCAGAATTGAGCCCAAAATTTTGGTTGCTAAGTGAGACAGTTGTTCAGTGAATTTTTTTCCCGTGTTACGACCTTCCTTGCTGCAGTTGTTAAGCAAATCACTGGAAGTTAGTTAAGCAAATCCAGGTTCCCCATTGACTTGGCTTGTCGGAAGGTCTCAAAATTTAATTTATTTATTTATTGGTTCGATTTATATGCTACCCTATTCTGGAGACTCAGGGCGGCTTACAATGCGTTAAGCAATAGCCTTCATACTTTTGTATAAACCTGCTTAGTAGGGCTTTCGCCCCCCCCCGCCCCCCCAAGCGGTGTTCTTTTTTATACAAAGTCAGCTTATTGCCCCCACAATCTGGGTCCTCATTTTACCGACCTCGGAAGGATGGAAGGCTGAGTCAACCTTGAGCCTGGGGAGATTCCAACTTGCAGTAATTGCAGGCAGCTGGTGCTACTTAACAGTGCTTTAGTCTGCTGCACCACCAAGGCTCATGTGACCACAGGACGCTGCGACTGTCATAAATATGAGTCAGTTGTCAAGTGTCCAAATTTGGATCATGTTGTGGCCTGTCGGTTACCGGCCCCTCCAGCAGCCGAATCAGATGAGGAGGAGGAGGAGGAAGAGGCGTGGGAGTGAGGGTCAGCATCAGGGCAACCTGAGAGCTCCGAGGTGGGGAAGAGGGAATGGAGCTGGCAGAGAGAGAGAGAGACAGAGGAAGAGCCTGGGCCATCCGTCAGCCGTCAGATGGAGAGTCAACAGCCCCCAGGTCTGGAGGTGGCTGATGAGGAGGAGGAGGAACAGCTGGGTCCAGTGCCTGATGCACAGAAGGCAAGAGGAGAGGAGAGCAGTGGAAATCTATGGGCTGGTCCTCGGGACGGAAGAGCCAATGCTGCTAGTGAAGCCCCACCCTGGCTCTGGGGATAAAAGGCAGGAGGCAGAGATGAATAGATGTGGCAGACAACTATTCGTCTCCTGACTGGATAGACTTGTTAGGCTGAGAGGGAAAGTTTTTGCCGGGACTGCCGGCGTTCCCAATTAAAGGAATTTTGAGTTCACTTCAGAGGGTTGGTCCTGTTTGGGGAGCTGGCTCAGAACAGGATGCTGCAACGGCCATCATTATGAAAAACGGTCATAAGTCTCTTTTTTTTATTATTTTAATTTGATTTATGTGCCGCCCTTCTCCGGAGACTCAGGGCGGCTTACAGTGCGTTAAGCAATAGCCTTCATCCTTTTGTATAAATATACAAAATCAGCTTATTGCCCCCACAATCTGGGTCCTCAATTTACCTACCTTGGAAAGGATGGAAGGCTGAGTCAACCTTGAGCCTTGGCGACATTCGAACCTGCAGTAATTGCAAGCAGCTGTGTTAATAACAGGGTGCGTAGACCACTGTACTATCAAGGCTCTTTTTTCCATTCAAGTTTCGTTGTAACTTTGAACTGGTTACTAAACGAACTGTTGTAAGTGGAGGACTACCTGTGATGGGTTACGTAGTAGGCCCGATTGGGCTCTCGGCTTCTGTTGACAAAGCAGGGACTGTGTTACCTATTCAGTGAGGTATCATCCCATCTCTTTGACCTGCTGCTCAGTCAGAGGCGAAATTCACAGTCTCGCCTGCTGTTCCTGTGAACCTGCTAAATGCCACCGGTGGAAATGCAGCCAGCGGGGTCAGATGGCAGGGTGTATGCCAGCAAGCGTGCCAACATTCGCAGCGTGCAGGCTGGCTCCGTCGCCTTGGAGTCATGCCAGCAGCAGGTGTTTGCTGTCTGAACCGGTTTCATCATATAATTTTGCTTCGTTTGTCCTTCGATTCTCCACGAAGAAAGCCAAGTAGGACGGTGGGGCCTTGGTTGCTCTCCGAGCCTGGTGGTTTTCTCTCAGACGTTTCGTGACCCAACTAGGTAACGGCATCAGGGCTAGAAGGGAGAGGGGTTTGTGGGGAGAAGGAGGAGGAGGACTGTGGGGTCCTTGGTGCTCTCTGAGCTTGATGGTTTTCTTGCAGACATCTCGTGACCCAACTAGGTAACATCATCAGGGCTAGCCTGATGATATTAGCTAGTTTGGTACTGAAACGTCTGCAAGAAAACCACCAAGGACCCCACAGTTCTCCTCCTCCTCCCTACTTCCTTCTAGCACTGATGATGTTACCTAGTTGGGTCATGAAAGGACTCCAAGAAAACAAGGTCAGAGAGCACCAAGGATCCCCACAGTTGTTGTCCTCCTCGTCCTCTCCCCACAAACCCCACTCCCTTCTAGCAGTGATGATGTTACCTAGTTGGGTCTTGAAACGTCTGCAAGAAAACCCCCAAGCTCAGAGAGCACCAAGGAGCCTTGATAGTACAGTGGTTTAGTGCACCCTGTTATTAACATTCAGCTGCCTGCAATTATTGCATGTTCGAATCTCCCCAGGCTCAGGGTTGACTCAGCCTTCCATCCTTTCTAAGGTAGGTAAATTGAGGACCCGGATTGTGGGGGCAATAAGCTGACTTTGTATAAATATACAAAAGGATGAAGGCTCTTGCTTAGCGCATTGTAAGCCGCCCTGAGTCTCCGGAGAAGGGCGGCATATAAATCAAATTAAAAAAAAAAAAAAAAGGATCCCTCAGTCGTCCTCCTCCTGTCCTCCAACCCCACTCCATCCTCTGAAACCTTCCTCCTCCTTATTTCTTTCAGCCCAGCCCGTCTTTCACATCCTCCGACTCCGCCTCAAGCCTTGGCAGTTCCCGCGGGCCCAGCCCGGCTCTGAGCAGCAAACGGATGTCCAATAAGGCCGTCCAAGCAGGTGAGTCTCGCTTCACTTCGGCCGTCTCATCCCCGGCTGCTTTCTCGGCGGAGCCTTTGGGTTCAGAGGCTTTTCACAAAAGAAAAAGAAGTCGAATTCAAAGGCTTCGCCGTCTCTTTTGCGCCCTGACCCTTTTCGGTCCTTCCCTCCAGACTTTCCGCCCTCCTAGCGGAGATCTGACTTCCACGGAGTCGGAAGCGACTTCGGAGAAATCTCAGATCTTCTTCGGCTGAGTCGATCTGAGGCCGATTCTTCCTCGGCTTTCTCTCTGCTTGGAAGTTTCTTGCCTTTTGTGTTTCTGCACAGAAAGAGACACACAAAGACACAGCAGTATCGTCCGTACCACTCACGAGAAGGAAGAAGTAACACAGGCAGCCTTTGACTTACAACTCAGCCCAATATTTCCTTTTTTTAAAAAATGTTTTTATTGTACATTTTCCTTTATTATACATCACATTTCCAGTTTTGCAATGACAGTGTACTGGCTGTGTCAAGTCCTTTTTAAGTATACATAGTATTATACACCCTGATTATAACCATTATTCTCATAGTCATACAGTATAGTCTCTTTTAAAAAGAATAGAATATATTTTTTTTATTGGCCAAGTGTGATTGGACACACAAGGAATTTGTCTTGGTGCATACGCTCTCAGTGTACATAAAAGAAAGGATACATTCTTCAAGAATCATAAGGTACAACACTTAATTATAGTCATAGGGTACAAATAATACAAGCAACAAAATTACAGTCATAGAATAGAATAGAATAGAAAAGAAAAGAAAAGAAAAGAAAAGAAAAGAAAAAAGAAAATCTGGAATGTAGAAGAGAAGAGAAGAGAATATTGGAATGTAGAATAGAATAGAATAGAATAGAATAGAATAGAATAGAATAGAATAGAATAGAAAATCTGGAATGTAGAAGAGAAGAGAAGAGAATATTGGAATGTAGAATAGAATAGAATAGAATAGAATAATAGAATAGAATAGAATAGAATAGAATAGAATAGAATAGAATAGAATAGAATAGAATAGAAAATAGAATTCTTTATTGGCCAAGTGTGATTGGACACCAAGGAATTTGTCTTTGGTGCATACGCTCTCAGTGTACATAAAAGAAAAGATACATTCGCCAAGAATCATAAGGTACAACACTTAATGATAGTCATAGGGTACAAATAATACAAGCAACAAAATTACAGTCATACAGTCATAAGTGGAAGGAGATGGGTGGTAGGAATGATGAGAAGATTAATAGTAGTGCAGACTTAGTGAATAGAATAGAATAGAATAGAATAGAATAGAATAGAATAGAATAGAATTCTTTATTGGCCAAGTGTGATTGGACACACAAGGAATTTGTCTTTGGTGCATACGCTCTCAGTGTACATAAAAGAAAAGATACATTCGTCAAGAATCGTAAGGTACAACACTTAATGATAGTCATAGCAGGGGTGGTTCTACTTACCTTTACTACCGGTTCGCAACGGGGCAGCACGTGTGTTCTGATGACGTCAGGGTCAGTGGGTGGAGCCTTCCGCCGGTTTTACTACCAGTTCTATAGAACCGGTGTGAAATGGGGGCAACCCACCACTGAGTCATAGGGTACAAATAAGCAATCAAATCATACTAGGAAACAATCAATATAAATCGTAAGGATCCCAGCAACAAGGTTACAGTCATACAGTCATAAGTGGGAGGAGATGGGTGATAGGAACGATGAGAAGATTAATAGTAGTGCAGACTTAGTAAACAGTTTGACAGTGTTGAGGGAATTATTTGTTTAGCAGAGTGATGGCGTTCGGGGAAAAAACTGTCCTTGTATCTAGTTGTTCTGGTGGGCAGTGCTCTATAGCATCGTTTTGAGGGTAGGAGTTGAAACAGTTTATGTCCAAGATGTGAGGGGTCTGTAGATATTTTCACAGCCCTCTTTTTGACTCGTGCAGTAGACAGGTCCTCGATGGAAGGCAGGTTGGTAGCCATTGTTTCTTCTGCCCTTCTAATGATCCTCTGCAGTCTGTGTCTGTCTTGTTGGGTTGCAGAGCCAAACCAGACAGTTATGGGGGTGCAGATGACAGACTCAATAATAATTCCTTCGTAGAACTGGATCAGCAGCTCCTGGCGCAGTTTGAGCTTCCTGAGTTGGCGCAGAAAGAACATTCTTTGTTGTGCTTTTTTGATGATGTTTTTGATGTTGGGTGTCCATTTTAGGTCGATGAGATATGGTAGAACCTAGAAATTTGAAGGCCTCTACTGTTGACACTGTGTTGTCTAGTATTGTGAGAGGTGGAAGTACGGAAGAGTTTCTCCTAAAGTCCACCACCATTTCTACGGTTTTGAGTGTGTTCAGTTCCAGATTGTTCCGGTCGCACCACGAGGCTAGTTGTTCAACCTCCCGTCTGTATGCATAATGTTGTACGTCATAGTTATAACCATTATTTTCATAGTTGTACCATAATACTCTATACCTTTATCACTCTATATGTTTTAATTTATAGTCACATACAGTCCGATAGTACTTCCACGCATGGAGCATGCGTGAAAGGCATATGAGCAAAGCACATGCACGGAAGGTTGGGTGTGCGCGAAGCAGCGTGCGCGGGGCGAACCGGTAGCAACAAAATGTGAAACCCGCCGCTGCCCTTGATCCACAACAATAACCAAGGTGGTTGCCGCATCGGAGAGACAACCTGTATTTCCTTTCCCCCTCCCCCCCAGGAGACTTTGAGATTGTGAACAGCGCCACCAAGAAGCACACTCGCGACGTGGGCTTGACATTCCCCACCCCGACCCAAAGCCAAGCCACGCTCCAGGGAAGGGCCGCTAGGAGCAGGACGGAGCACCGGCTGGCTCAGCACCATGGGCTGTCGGCGGAAGACGAGGACCAGCAGACGTGGCAGCCGGGCGGCTTCCTAGAAGGGAGGAGGCCCAGAAGGAGCCGGTCGCAGTGGATGCAAGGTGGGTGTGTATATGTGTGTTTCTTGTGGATTTGGGCCACGTTGCAAGAGCCAGTGTGGTGCAGTGCCAAACCTGCTGGACTAGAGATCAGGCGACGGTGAGTTCTAGTTCTCTCTGGCTCTAAAAGCTGGCTGGGTTTTTGTTCTACGTATCCCTCTCTCTCTCTCTCTCTCTCAGCCCAGTCTACCTCCTAAGATTGTTGTGTTTGTAGAGAAAAGAGGAGATGGGAGCATTGGGTACACACATTGCCTTCATCTTCTTCTTTGAATGACCCCGTAATTCCTTGTGGGGTAGAGTCTGGGCAACTGAATGGAGATACCAGATTGTTTGAATGGCCAGATGCCTTTCCTGTCACCAATGTGGAGTTTTGTTCATCAGATATATTCTCATGGTGCCCAGAGAGAGAAATATCTGCCTCTACCTAGGATTGAACTCACAGCCTCCTGATTGTGAGGCGAGAGCTCCACCTTTAGGCCACCGCACCACTCCAGTACACACACTGCCTTGTAAAAAACAAAGATGGGATCTGAGTCAAGAGATAAATAGCATTCACCGGATAGATTTTATTTATCCATTTATTTACTTTTATCCAGATTTTACTATTTTCATAAAGGCTCTAAACATATTCCTTTCTCCTGCTGTTTCCCCCACAACAGCTCTGTAAGGTGGGCTCAGCTGAGAGCCACTCAGCAGTTTTCATGACTGAAGTGGGACTAGAACTCACCGTCGCCTGGTCATTGCCCCAAATCACCCAGCCTTCTTTCATGTCTTAAGGTGGGACTAGATCTCACTGTCGCCTGGTCATTGCCCCAAATCACCCAGCCTTCTTTCATGTCTTAAGGTGGGACTAGAACTCACCGTCGCCTGGTCATTGCCCCCAAATCACCCAGCCTTCTTTCATGTCTTAAGGTGGGACTAGAACTCACCGTCGCCTGGTCATTGCCCCAAAGTTACCCAGCCTTCTTTCATGTCTAAAGTGAGACTAGAATTCACTGTCTCCTGGTCATTGTCCCAATGTCACCCAGGGTTCTTTCATGTCTTAAGGTGGGACTAGATCTCACCGTCGCCTGGTCATTGCCCCAAAGTTACCCAGCCTTCTTTCATGTCTAAAGTGAGACTAGAACTCACCGTCGCCTGGTCATTACCCCCAAATCACCCAGCCTTCTTTCATGTCTTAAGGTGGGACTAGAACTCACCGTCACCTAGTCATTGCCCCAAAGTTACCCAGCCTTCTTTCATGTCTAAAGTGAGACTAGAATTCACTGTCTCCTGGTCATTGTCCCAATGTCACCCAGGGTTCTTTCATGTCTTAAGGTGGGACTAGATCTCACTGTCGCCTGGTCATTGCCCCAAATCACCCAGCCTTCTTTCATGTCTTAAGGTGGGACTAGAACTCACCGTCGCCTGGTCATTGCCCCCAAATCACCCAGCCTTCTTTCATGTCTTAAGATGGGACTAGAACTCACCGTCACCTGGTCATTGCCCCAAAGTTACCCAGCCTTCTTTCATGTCTAAAGTGAGACTAGAATTCACTGTCTCCTGGTCATTGTCCCAATGTCACCCAGGGTTCTTTCATGTCTTAAGGTGGGACTAGATCTCACCGTCGCCTGGTCATTGCCCCAAAGTTACCCAGCCTTCTTTCATGTCTAAAGTGAGACTAGAACTCACCGTCGCCTGGTCATTACCCCCAAATCACCCAGCCTTCTTTCATGTCTTAAGGTGGGACTAGAACTCACCGTCACCTAGTCATTGCCCCAAAGTTACCCAGCCTTCTTTCATGTGTAAAGTGAGACTAGAATTCACTGTCTCCTGTTCATTGTCCCAATGTCACCCAGGGTTCTTTCATGTCTTAAGGTGGGACTAGATCTCACTGTCTCCTGGTCATTGTCCCAATGTCACCCAGGGTTCTTTCATGTCTTAAGGTGGGACTAGATCTCACCGTCGCCTGGTCATTGCCCCAAAGTTACCCAGCCTTCTTTCATGTCTAAAGTGAGACTAGAACTCACCGTCGCCTGGTCATTACCCCCAAATCACCCAGCCTTCTTTCATGTCTTAAGATGGGACTAGAACTCACCGTCACCTGGTCATTGCCCCAAAATCACCCAGCCTTCTTTCATGTCTTAAGGTGGGACTAGAACTTACCGACTCATGGTGATTGGCCTAAAGTCACCAAGCCGGCTTCCATGCCTCGGGTGGGACTAGAACTCCCATCTCCTGCTTTCTAGCCAGGTGCCTTCACCACTAAAACCAAACCGGCTCTAGATATAATAATATCTGGTTCTCTATAAGCGATCCTTGCTCCACAGGGGAAGTTCCATCCGATGGAACATTCAAATAAAGGAAGATAATAGGACGGAAAATAGCGAAAGAGCTGGGCAAAGAATCAAGAATTTAATCTGAGACAAATTAAAATAACCTAGGACCAAAATGGGAAGATGGGGAAGGAAGTCACAGGGTAAGTTTCGAAAGGCTCAAAATTAAATGCGATAAATCATTTGGATCCTGAATCCCCAAATCAAGATGTCTTCAAGGTAACATAGATTGTTTTAGACCAGGGTTTCCCAACCTTAGCTACTTCTAAGATGCGTGGACTTCAATTCCCAGAATTCCCCAGCCAGCTGGCTAGGGAATTCTGGGAGTTGAAGTCCACGAAAAAGTGGCCAAAATTGAGAAATCCTGACCAAAAACCTGTTGGAACTTCAGCCTGAATCCGAGGGCCTTTGAGAGGCCGAACCCACCCACTCTCTGCTAATCCTAGTCGGCCATCTTGGCAAAGGACCACCGAAACTCACCGCCGCTGTTCTCCTGTCTCCCTCTCCCCCCATCCAGGAGTATCTTGGTTCGTCCCGGCAGCAGATCTAAAACCGGATCCCCTGGAAGAATCCGGGGGTGGCTTCCTACCCGGTCCTGCTCTCGCGTGGTCCGAGCCCCCACCCACAAGAAATCCCTGGCGAGAACCTCTCCGCGAGCAGAATTGGCCGGAACGTCCCGGGGGCCTCCAGGTGCGTCTGGCAGCTCCAGCAAGAGATGCTGAGAATGAGCCTCCCTCACCTTTGAGTAAAATGACCTTGCAGGTAAAATCCAGCCTTCTGGCTTTGTCCCCCTTCCCCCTCGCTCCACTTCCCCCACACTCTCCATCCATACTAGACATCCTGGCGCCAAGGACCAGGCGCGGCTCCATTCTGGCCCAGCTGGAAGGAACCATAGAGGTCTTCTAATCTCCAACCCCTTAATATACCGTATTTTTCGGAGTATAAAACAACTTTCCCCCCCCCAAAAGAGGGTGAAACTTTGGGTGCGTCTTACACACTGAATGTAGCCCCCCCCCGATGGCCCCCACCCTTTCGCCTTGGCCTCCCAGCAATTTGCCTCCTTGCAGCAAACAGCAAACAGCCTGTTTCAGTTTCAGCTTCACCGCAGCCTGATTAGCACATTTCCTATTGCCCCGCGCCCCATTTGCTGCAAGGAGGCAAACTGCTGAGAGGCAGAGGCAGAAATTGTTTTTTTTTTTCCTTGTGCTAATCAGTGCTGTGCTGAAACTGAAACTGAAACAGGCTGTTTGCTGTTTGCTGCAAGGAGGCAAATTGCTGAGAGGCAGAGGCAGATTTTTTTTTTTCTTGTTTTCCTCCCCAAAAAAGGTAGGTGCGTCTTATAGTCCAGAGCATCTTATACTCCGAAAAATACGGTAGGTGGTCTTTAGCTTACAAGAAATTCATTTAGTGACCATTCAGAGTTACAACAGCACTGAAACAAGTCCCTTAGGACTTGTTTTTCACTCTTAACGACCGTTGTGGCATTCCCCGCGATCACGTGATCAGAATTTGGACGCTTGGCCACAGGCTCCTATTATTTATGACGGGTGTTGCAGTGCCCCAGGGTCACGTCATCTACTTTTGCGACCTTCCAACAAAGCAAAGTTGACGGGGAAGCCAGATTCACTTAACAACCATGTGACTGTCTTATGGCACTGATAAAAGCAACCTATGACGCTTTTTACAAGCCCTGGTGCTGCAGTGGTTGGAATGCAGCATTGCAGGCAAAAACCCTGCCGACTGCCAGCATTTCAATCCTGACCGGCTTAAGGTTCATTCAGCTTTCCATCCTTCTGAGGTCGGTTAAATGAGGACCCAGATTGTTGGGGGGCAAGAGGCTGGCTCTGTAAACTGCTTAGAGAGGTCTGTAGAGCACTATGAAGCGGTATATAAGCTTAAATGCTATTGCTATTCTCTTTCTTTCCCTCCTTCCCTCCCTCTCTCCTTCCTTCGCACCCTTTTCTTTCTACTTTTCTTTCCTTCTGTCTGTCTCCTTCCTTCCCTTCTTCTTCTCCATTTTCTTTCTCCTGCTCCCTCTTATCTCTTATTTCCCTTCCCTTTTTCTCTCCCTCTTCCTTCCTTCCTTCCTTCCTTCCTTCCTTCCTTCCTTCTTTCTCTTGTAAGAGTCGTGTTGTCCCAGTGGTTAGAATGCAACATTGCAGGCTAATTCTGCCAACTGCCGGCAGTTCAATGCTGACCAGCTCAAAGTTGACTCGGCCTTCCATCCTTCCGAGGTTGGTAAAATGAGGACTCGGATTTTTTGGGGACAAGAAGCTGACTCTGCAAATCGCTCAGAGAGGGCTGTAAAAGCAGTGTGAAGTGGTGTGTAAGTCTAAGAGCTATTGCTATTTTCACACTTATGGCGTTTGTGGGATCCCCCTGGTCACGTGATCGAAATTTGGGTGCTTGGCAACGGGCATGCCTTTATGTCAGTCGTGCTTTCACATGTTATCACCCTTTGCAAACTTCCCGGCTATCTGCTGATAAGCAAAATGAGTGGAGGAAGCCAGATTTGCTTAACAACAGCATAATTCGCTTAACAAACACAGCGTTTGGTTTAACAACTGTGGCAGAAAACACCAATAGCACTTAAGATTTCTATACTGTTTCATAGTGCTGTACAGCCCTCTCTCAGCCATTTACAGAGTCAGCCTCTTGCCCCCAACAATCTGGGTCCTCATTTTACTCACCTCGGAAGGAATGGAAGGCTGAGTCAACCTTTGAGCCGGTCTGGATCGAACTCCTGGCAGTCGGCAGAGTTTGCCCGCAATCCTGCATTCAAACCACTGGGCCGTCACAGCTCAGATAGATAGATGAGAGATAGACTCAACAATCTGGGTCCTCATTTTACTCAACTTGGAAGGATGGAAGGCCGAATCAACCTTGAGCTGGTCAGGATTGAACTGCTGGCAGTGGGCAGAATTAGCCTGCAGTGTTGCATTCTAACCACTGGGACAACACGACTCTTAGAAGAGAAAGGAAGGAGAGGAAGGAGAGGAAAGAAGAGGGAGAGAAAAATGGAAGGGAATAGAGGGAGCAAGAGAAAGAAAATTGAGAAAAAGCAGGCAATCCTGCCTTCTAACCATTGAGCCATCAAGGTCGTAAAATGGAGCAAAACTCCCTTAACAACGGCCTTGCTTAGCAACGCAAACTTTGGACACAAATTACGGTCATAACTCGAGGGCACCTAAGAATCGTCCGTGAGACCGACGCATCAAATTCTCTTACCCCAGTGAGCGCCCCCCTACCCCCCCCCCCCGGGTCCCCCAAACGCCACTTTGGAATTAAAAAAAGACAAACTGCTTTTGTGCAGCTTTCGAACTTGTTGTGAGCCCAAGATTGTCCGGGAATCGTAACGCTGAGATTCTGCCCTTCCGCTTTCCCGCGGAGATCGACCCCCTTCCCCAAGACGGGGCCGTGAGCTCATTTCGATTTTCCCAGGGAAAAAAAAATCTCTTCTCTGGGTTTTGTTTGGGTTAGAGGCTTTTCCTTCGCGGCTCCCCCGAGTCCTCTGCTTTGTCTCCGTCGGGCTCCTTTAAAATATTCCTTATTTTCCCCCCACCCCCCCTTTTTTTTTCTTTAAAAACAACACAAGCACACAGCTGGGTTTATTCCCAAGTCTGGTGTCTTTCCGGCATGGAAGCATTTCTTTGGAATCTCTGGAGCTTTGCGGAGGCCTCGTTCTCCTCTTTGCAAAAAAAATAAATAAATAAAATTAATTAATTTCTCTGCCTCGGAGGCCGATTTCCAAGGAAGCTTATATCATTCTTTCCCCGAGGCTAAGTGATTGTTTTTCTTTCTTCCCCCCCCTTCCCCCTTCTTTCCTTTTTTCCCTCTTTTTCATTTTCCCCACTTAGGAGTCTCTGGCGATGCACCGTCCCGATTTCATTTCCAGCTCCGGGGAACGTCAGAAACGCCTCAAGCTGCTGGTCGAAGAAAGGAAGCTGCAGGGCGTCTTCCAGGGGGAGAGGGAGCGGTTGTTCAACCCCCCCGATGGGATGAGCTGTAGGAACGCGGGGGGTCTTGCGAACCGAGGTACCCCTTCTCCTGCACGGGGAGCCCTGCTCCAAATTGCATGCGGTGTCAGTTTGCTGAAGAAATGAACGACTGTTGAGAGGCGGGCGGGGGGGCTGGCTCTTCTTTGGCAGCAGGAACAGAGACGGACACACACACCCCCAAAAATTATTTATTTATTTATTTATTGGTTCGATTTATATGCCGCCCTTCTCCGGAGACTCAGGGCGGCTTACAATGCGTTGAGCAGTAGCCTTCATACTTTTGTATATACCTGCTTAGTAGGGCTTTCGGACCCTCACAAGCGGTGTTCTTTTTTATACAAAGTCAGCTTATTGCCCCCCACAATCCAGGTCCTCATTTTACCTACCTCGGAAGGATGGAAGGCTGAGTCAACCTTGAGCCTGGTGAGGTTCGAACTCGCAGTAATTGCAAGGCAGCTGGTGCTACTTAACAGCACTTTAGTCACTGCGCCACCAAGGCTCCTTAATCCAGGCTGCTTCTGCTATAAGGAGTCCTCAGTATTCTCTGAGCTTGGTTGGCTTCCTTGCAGGCGTTTCATGACCCAGCTAGGGAACATCGTCAGTGCTAGAAGGGAGAGGGGTTTTGAGAAATGAGGATGGGAGGAGGAGAAGGGTCTGGGGTTTTCAGAGACGAGGAGGATTGTGGGCTCCTTGGTGCTCTCTGAGCTTGCTTGTTTTCTTGCAGGCGTTTCATGACCCAACTAGGGAACATCATCAGTGCTAGAAGGGAGAGGGGTTTGCAGAGAGGAGGAGGAGGAAGAGGATGACTGTGGTGTCCTTGGTGCTCTCTGAGATTGCTTGTTTTCTTGTAGACGTTTCATTACCAAATTAGGTTACACCATCAATGCTAGAAGGGAGAGGGGTTTGCAGAGAGGAGGAGGGGGACTGCTAGAAGCGAATGGGGCTTGTAGAAATGAGAGTGGGAAGAGGCGTAGGAGAACTGTGGGGTCCTTGGTTCTCTCTGAACTTGGTTGCTTTCTTGCAGACGTTTCACGCCCCAACTAGCTAACAACATCAGTGCTTAGAAGGGAGTGTTCCACTGGGGGGATTGAAGCTTTGCCTTGGCTATCCAAAGGAGGCCCAAACATGCAGGAAGGGAAGGCCCCAGTGGTGAAATCCGAACTGGTTTGCTACCAGTTCGCTGGCCGCGTATGCACACCGCGCACCAAACTTGGGCTGTGGGCACATGCGCAGTGTGCACCAAAGGCGCGCTCCGCGCGCACACACACACGCATGTGCAGTATGTGCCAAAAGGAGGCTTGGGAAGGTAAGTAGAACAGCGAGGGGGGATCAGCTGTGGCACGCAATTTAGCTGGATTCCCTGCTTTCTAGCAAAGCTAAACCCCGCTGCACAGCTGATCGTTGGAAATACCAGTTCAGGCGAACCAGTAGCTTTTTTTTTTTTTTTATCACTACCGATTCGTTCGAATTGGAGCGAACCGGAAGCATTTCACCCCTGCCCTGCCCCCTCTTTCAGGGACGTGCAATCTCCTTTGTCCCAAAAGCTTCCTTACAAAAGTGGCCGATTCTCCTAAAATCCACCTTTTCAACGTCCTTAGTCCTTGGGGGGTGATCATCTTAACAAGGGGGTCTCCAAACTTGGCAACTTGTGGATTTCGACTCCCAGAATTCCTCAGCCAGCTTGGAACAGTCCTTACTAAGCACAGATGTTGTTCTCTGGGTGACGAAACGTCTGCGAGAAAACCACCAAGCTCAGAGAGCACCAAGGACCCCACAGTCTTTTCCCTCCTCCTCCTCCTCTATTTCACAAACCCCACTCCATTCTAGCATTGATGATATTACCTAGTTGGGTCATGAAATGTCTGCAAGAAAACCACCAAGCTCAGAGAGTCTCAAGGACCCCACAGTTCTCCTCCTCCTCCTGTGGCTGCTTTCTCTCTCCCTCCTCCTCCTCCTCCTCCTCTCCACAAGCCCCACTCCCTTCTAACACTGATGATGTTACCTAGTTGGGTCATGAAACGTCTGCAAGAAAACAACCAAGCTCAGAGAACACCAAGGACCCCACAGTCCTCCTCCTCTTCTTCCTCCTCTTCCTCCTTCTCCCCTTCCCTTCCAGCTCCTGACTGGCTGGGGAATTCTGGGAGTTAAAAGTCCACAAGTCTTAAAAGTTACCCCGTTTAGACGCCATCAAACCAGGATTGAGTTCCTTGGCGGTCAGGGAAAACGAAGGCGCGGCAAGAGAGAGCTGGTCTCACCCCGATGTTTTTCTTCCTCTCTTTTTAGGGTATCGGACGATTCGGAGCAGAGCGATTTCCAAGAACGAAATGGTTGAGCGGTCCAAACGGTAAGAGGGGGGGGGGTTGGTTGACTTCGGGCCAGAGAGTGACTCTCTTGGATTACGCTCAGAAGCGATAATGGATAAACATCATAAATAACAGAGAACTCGGGTTACTTCTGCATTCCTAATAAGGAAGTAACAAAATTCCTATTTAGACGTCCTCGCTGAGAAAGGAGAAGAAGCTCTATCCGCCTGCTTTCTATTTCCTTCTGGACGCTAATTTAGCATCTTTGCCAGATTCTGCTGGGATGCCGCCCCAAATTTGGGGCTCAAAACCGGACATTTTGGATACAGGTAGTCCCAGACTTACGACCACAACGGCGCCCAAAATTCATGCCGCTAAGCAAGACATTTGTTAAGCGAGCTTTTTTTCTCCCCTTCTACGACCGGTCTTGCCACCATTCTTAAGTGAATCACTGCAGCGGCTGAGCTCGTAACCCAGTTGCTAAGCGAATCCGGCTTCTTCCCCCATTGATTTTACTCGTCAGGAGGTCCCTGCAAAACCGTCATAAATACGAGTCCGTGGCCAAGCGTCTGAATTTTGTATCTTGTGATCCCGGGGATGCTGCAGAGATCAAAATAACAGTGTGAAAAGTGGTCATATTCATAAGTGTCCCCCCTGCCCCCCCCCCCCCCCGGTGATGTTCTCACTTTGAATGCTCACGAAACGAACGGTTGTAAGTCCTTCTCATTGCGATGGCGGTGAGAGGCCCTTTGTGTTCAAAGTGTGCATCGAACATCAAGTGTCCCATGCTTCGCGCTTCAGGACCTCGTGGCAACGTTACCAAACTGCAATGAACGTGGCTTGTTGGTTCCGGGCAAAGATCTGTTTTAATTTTTTTCACGCGGGGCAAAATTTGAAACTTTGCACATTTTGGTATTTTAAATTTTTACGCCGCGCCTTATTTTCGTCGTCGTGATGCTCCTGGACACGAAGGAGCTAACTTTCTCTCTGGTCCGGGCATTTGCAGATCTCCTCTCCTCCTTGACATAAAGGTCACCTTGCTGGGACACAGAATTCAACCACCGCTTCTCTGCCCTAATGACCAGCTGGATGGGCGTGGCCAGGGTGGGCGTGGCCAGGGTGTGTGACAGGCAGCATTTGGCCTTCTGCAACCCCCTGGGAGCAAAAATGGACCATGGGGGGGCACACCCCCGCACCCCGCTTTGGGCCTAGTAGGCCTCCCTGCACTTACCTGGGAGCCAAAACGGGGCATGGGGTGGGGTGGGGGACTTCTGGAAGAGGTGGGGTGGGAGGGGAGAAGCCAGCCAGGAATTTAACTACCGATTCGCCCGAACCGGCTGAATTCCACCACTCCACCCCAAGTCCAGTCTCTTCTTGAAAGCTCCCAGTGATGAACCACCTACAACTTTTGAAGGCAAGCCATTCCACTGAACAACAGAGTTGGAGGGGACCTTGGAGGTCATCTAGTCGCCCCCCCCACGCACCCTGTTTTGGGCATAGTAGGCAGGGGTGAAATCTACTTACCTTCCCTACCGATTTGGAAGTGCGCGCGCAAACCCTTCTGTGGATGCGCAGAGGGTAAAAAACAGGTTACTGTATCCTGGTTAAAACCAGGAAGTAACGACGACCAGCCGGGTGGGTGGAACCTTGTTCTGTCATCGCTACCAGTTCGGTTGAACCGGTCTGAACCGGTAGCATTTCACCCCTGCTAGTAGGCTTACCTGGGAGCCAAAACAGGGCGCATGGGGACTCCTAGGAGAAAAGGGGAAGGGAAGGGCCAGCCAGCAATTGAACAACCGATTCATCCGAACCGGCTGAATCCCACCACTGATCGATTCCCCCCCCCCTTTAAATCGCCTTCTCGCTTTCTCTTCCCTTCGGCCAGCATCTACGAGCAGCTGCCCGAGGTGCGAAAGCGACGGGAAGAAGCCAAGAGGAAATCGGAATATTCCAGCAACCGCTTGAAGGCCCAGCTGTACAAAACGGTGGGGGGCCCTTTCTTTTTTTTCCTCCCCCCCCCCCACACACCCCCACTCAAAAGCCTGTGGGGCGGTTGTCCTCCTTTTCGGAAAGCGGGTCAGAGGTGGATTCGGAGCAGGCAAGGCAGGGGATAATGGGCTTCGGGAACGGGGACGTAATAGTCAATAAGCTCACCGGGGCCCCCAATCTGGAAGGCATCAGGGGGCATCTTAAAAAAAACGTGAGCTCGGGGCCGTTGCAGGGGGCCGCAAACTGACCCACACCAGGCAGAAACTCCTATGGGGGAGAACGGCCGTATCTCTGAAGCGGCGAGGCATAAAACAGCGGAGATATTTCCCGGGAGAAATGCTGAGTTTAATCCTGGCCAAAGGAAGGAGCATCGCAGAGCCGTGGGGGAAAAAGGAAGCGGCCGTTGTGCCTGAACCACTAGGGGGCAGCAGAGCCTTCTTCTTCCTCTCTTTCCTCTCTCTCTCTCTTTTCTCTCTTCTTCCTTTTCTTTCTCTTCTCTCTTCTTTTTCCTTTCTTTTTCTGTGTTTCTTTCTTTCCTTTTCTCCTTTCTCTTCTCTCTTTTGTCTCTCCTTCTCTTTCTCTCCCTTATTTCTCTCCCCTTCCCTTCCTTCCTTCCTCCTCCTCCTTTCTCTTCTCTTCTCATCCCTTCCTTCCTTCCTTCCCCCTTTCTCTTCTCTTCTCTTCTCTTCTCTTCTCTTCTCTTTTTATTCTATCCTATCCTATTCCTTTCTCTTCTCTTCTCTTCTCTTCTCTTCTCTTCTCTTCTCTTCTCTATTTATCCTATCCTATCCTATCCTATCCTATCCTATCCTATCCTATCCTATCCCATTCCCTTCTCTTCTCTTCTCTTCTCTTCTCTTCTCTTCTCTTCTCTTCTCTTCTCCTCTTCTCTTCTCTTCTCTTCTCTTCTCTTCTCTATTTATCCTATCCTATCCTATCCTATCCTATCCTATCCTATCCTATCCTATCCATTCCCTTCTCTTCTCTTCTCTTCTCTTCTCTTCTCTTCTCTTCTCTTCTCTTCTCTTCTCCTCTTCTCTTCTCTTCTCTTCTCTTCTCTTCTCTTCTCTTCTCTATTTATTCTAGCCTAGCCTAGCCTAGCCTAGCCTATCCTATCCTATCCTATCCTATCCTATCCTATCCTATCCTATCCTATCCTATCCTATCCCTTTCTCTTCTCTTCTCTTCTCTATTTATTCTATCCTATCCTATCCTATCCTATCCCCTTCCCTTCCCTTCCCCTTTCCCCTTCCCTTCTCTTCTCTTTCCCCACCTCTTTCTCCCTCCCTCCCTCTCTCTCTCTCTCTCTCTCTCTCACACACACACACACACAGCCGTGGCCTTGTAACCCATCCCAAGCAAAAGACAGTTCATACAAGTTGGAGTTTCCTCTACCTCTCCTCCCCACCACCATCCAAATCCACTTGACACTTTTGGGGGGATCTCTTCTTCATCCTTCCCCCCCCCAATTAATCCAGACCCCTGTCCTTGTAGGGCCAAAGGACCGAGAGATGGGAAGGAGCCCAAAGGGGCTTCCTCGGACGGGTGGGGTGCGGGGCGTCCCTTCACCATTACAGGTTTGTTCTTCTCTTTTTGTCCCACAGAAAATCACCAACCATATCTTGGGAAGAAAAGTGCCCTGGGAATGACGCAGAAAGAAGGGAAAAAAACCCGAGCGACGGACGTCCCTGTTTAATAAACCTTATCGCACGAAGTAGGGTTTTTAACCTCTTTTTTAACACTTTTTAAAAAAAAATTACGAACTTGTGCCTATGCCGTAGATTCCTCAGGCAGCTTCCCCCTGACGCCCCTTAGATTTCCTGACCTTCACTGGGGTTCAGGGGTGCCCTCCCCAGTCCCCCCCCCAAAATCATGCTCCACCCTCACGTTTTCAAACCAACGTATTGAAGATTTTTTTTACAAAAATCAAGAAACCAGGAATATTTTTTCCCCCCCATATTCTGCCTACCTTCCTGCGGATCAAGGCTTTGTCGAACGAATTGATCAACAGCGCATTAAATTGGCGGTTTTGTGTGTGAAAGCAGCTTTTGTTATTTATATATCGATATATTTGTATTTCAGGTACTTTGTATCACTGAGGATTGGAAGATTACTCTGGATTTTTTAATGTCTCCGTGGTGGTGGTGGGGGGGGGGGAATTAAAATATCTTGCAATACCAACTCTTCCTGATAACTTCCATTGAGCGTTTTTGTCAGCTGTCAATTCACAGTTGGGTGGACTTCGACTCCCAGAATTCCAAGCAGCCTGGGCCAAGGCCTCTTTTCCTCAACCCTACCACCACCATTAAGACGGGTGGACTCCAACTCCCAGAATTCCCCAGCCAGTCTGGCCCAAGGCCTCTTTTTCCAGCAGGCAGGGCAATATTAAGATGGGTGGACTTCAACTCCCAGAATTCCAAGCAACATGAGCCAAGGCCTTTCTTTCCACCTGGGCAATATTAAGACGGGTGGACTCCAACTCCCAGAATTCCCTAGCCAGCCTGGCCCAAGGTGTCTTTTTCCAGCAGGCTGGGGCAATATTAAGATGGGTGGACTTCAATTCCCAGAATTCCAAGCAGCATGGGCCAAAGCCGGCTGTGGAATTCTGGGAGTTGAAGTCCACCCATCTTAAAAAGTTGCTAAGGTTGATAAAAACTGCCTTAATAAGAGATCTGGAGCTGGCCAGGCTAGAGTAGGCCGTTGTGAGACACACAGACTTTGAAACCAACACTCTACCGCACCCACACGTGCGCCTACACAACTCTCTTTTCCTTCCCCGGCCCAGCTGCTACTTCTGTTTTATCGCTCTGCATCTCTTCCTCCTTCCCTCCCTCCCTTCCTTGCCCTCTCTGCTCTTTTTCGCTGCCTGGTTGCAATTCTGCAGCCACAAGGCTGCTCTTGTGAGTCAGAGGGTGTTTCCCCCCCTTTAGAGCCCTGAACGAAGGCCAAACACAGCCCTTGTGTTGCTTTGCACACACCTCGGATTGTCGAAAAAGCTCCCCAACCGGACAGAATCCCAAATTAGCCAGGGGCTGTGTTGGGTCAGCAAAACACGAGGAGGTTTTGCCTCTCGGGTGTGGATTTGAACCAGGGAAGTCGCCTCTGGGTCAGTCCGGGTAGTCCTCGACTTACGACCACAATTCAGCCCCCCCGAATTTCGGTCGCTAAGCGAAACAGTCATCCAGGTCATGGTTGTCCCAAAGGTTTCTGAAGAGCTGAGGAAGCTTCTTGGATGGGGAGTGAATGTTGTTCCCCATTTTACGACCTTTCTCGCCAGCGTTGTTAAGTCAGTCCCTGCGGTGGTTAAGTTAATAACACAGCCGTTAAGCGAATCGGGCTTCCCCCCATTGACTTGGTTCGTCAGGAAGGTCGCCAAAGGACACTGCGACGGTCATAAGTATGAGTCAGTTGCCAAGCATCTGAATTTTGACCACGGGGATGCTGCAGCGGCCGTTAAGTGTGAAACACGGTCATAAATTGTTTTTTCCAATGCCGTTGCCCTTTTGAACAGTCACTAAATGAACGGTTGCAGTTCACTTAGAGACCGAAGTTAACAACAGCACTGAAAAACGACGTTTTCCACAGATCCCCCATGCTCAAATGATCAAAATTTGGATGCTTGGCAACTGGCATGTACTTCTGACAGTTTTGTGACCTATTGACAGGCAAAGTGAATGAGGACGCCAGATTCCCTTAACCATTTTGCTGTATCAATCACAGCTGGAAGGGACCTTGGAGGTCTTCTAGTCCAGCCCCCTGCTTAGGCAGGAAACCCTCTACCATTCCAGACAAATGGTTGTCCAATCTCTTCTTAAAAACTTCTAGTATTGGAGAATTCACAACTTCTGGTGGCAGGCTGTTCCACTGGTTAATCGTTCTCACCGTCAGGAAATTCCTCCTCAGTTCCAGGTTGCTTCTCTCCTTGATTAGTTTCCATCCGTTGCTTCTCGTCCTGCCTTCAGGGACTTTGGAGAATAAGGGACCTCGGAGGTCATCTAGTCCATCCCCCTGTTCAGGCAAGAAACCCTCTACCGTTCCCGACAAATGCCTCTCCAGTCTCTTCTTGCAAACCTCCAGCGACGAAGCCCTCACAACTTCCAGTGGCCAGCTGTTCCACTTCCGACTCACTTAACCACCGCGGCAGGAAAGATCATAAAATGAGGCCAAACGGGAACTTTGGCCTCCATGATTTGAGGACTTCGGGGAAGGAGCCGGATGATTTCTGAAAACAAAATAAAAAAAAAAAAAACGTGAAGTCCTTGCTTTATTCAGTGGGGGTTTTTCACCCCCACGGTTTGGATTGACGGTTTCTTTCCTGAAAATAAGGGAACTGCGGTTTGAAACAAAACTGATGAGTCTGGGCTTTTTAGAAGACCAAAAATGGACGGATTGTTATGACTACGAGATTCAGTCCTTCTGAGGGAGGCTGTCCGTCAAAAACGCAAAAAAAATTGGACAGCTGGGGCTTTTTCGCCTATCAATTTTAAAATGCTGAACCGGCGTTTTGTAAAACATTGCTCAACAATGCGTCTAGCAAGCCTTGTTTGGGCTGAGAAGCTAAACGGAGCTGGGACTTTGTATTTTTAAACAAATTAACAGTTGGAAGGGACCTTGGAGGTCATCTAATCCACCCCACCCCCCCCCACCAGCAGGAGACCTTACACCATTTCTGACAGATGGCAGTCCAGTCTCTTCTAACGGTTACTGATTTGAATACAGGCAGTCCCCGGCTTACAACAGTTCATTGATGACTGACTGAAGTTTACATTACATTCTTCACACTTACGACCATTTTTCACCCTTAACGACCATTGCAAATTCAGAGGTTTGGCCACAGGTTCCTATTTATGACGGCTGCGGAGGTCCTCTGATCCCTTTTTTGTGAACTTCTGACAAGCCACGTCAACGGGGGAAGCCCGATCCGCTTAACAACCGTGTGACTTAATAACTGCAAGCGATTCACTTACCAACGGTGGCGAGGAAGCTTCAAAAAATGGGGGGCAAACTTCCTTAACGACTCGCTTGCCGATGGGAATATTGAGCTCCGTTCTGATCGGGAGTCGAGGCCCCCCCCCCAAAAAATAAAAAAATAAAAATAGCAGGATGGAGAACTAGATAGGAAAATTGTCAAAATAGCTCCGAAGACTCCACATTCATCCAGGTTTTGCAAAACCCAATGTGGATGCTTCTTTCATCTCAGCAGGAATCAGAGGTGGTATTTAGCCGGTTCATACCAGTTTGTTGCGAACTGGTAGCGGCTTCTTTCATCTCAGCAGGAATCAGGTGGTATTTAGCTGGTTCGTACCAGTTTGTTGCGAACTGGTAGCGGCTTCTTTCATCTCAGCAGGAATCAGGTGGTATTTAGCTGGTTCGTACCAGTTTGTTGCGAACTGGTAGCGGCTTCTTTCATCTCAGCAGGAATCAGGTGGTATTTAGCCGGTTCGTATCAGTTTGTTGAGAACTGGTAGCAGCTTCTTTCATCTCAGCAGGAATCAGAGGTGGTATTTAGCCGGTTCGTACCAATTTGTTGCGAACTGGTAGCGGCTTCTTTCATCTCAGCAGGAATCAGGTGGTATTTAGCCGGTTTGTACCAGTTTGTTGCGAACTGGTAGCGGCTTCTTTCATCTCAGCAGGAATCAGGTGGTATTTAGCCGGTTCGTACCAGTGTGTTGCGAACTGGTAGCGGCCCGGCGTAAATGCCGTCCTATTTAGCCACTGCGGAAGGCGTACGCACGCGTGGCGAGCCTGTCGTAAAGAATAGGTCAAACCCGCCACTGCCGAGAATCAAGATTACTTTGCAGGAAATCCCAAAGATGCTTGGACACCTGGACTTCCTGGTTTTTCTTCTTTCTTTGAAGACGTTTTGCTTCTCCTCCAAGAAGCTTCTTCCGCTCTTCAAAGACAAGCTGTCTTTGAGACAACCCCATGACCTGGATGACCGAGAATCTCCATACAAAACTACGTAGCACATTAAAAAAACCTATGTCTTCCTATGTAGGAAACTATGTTCTGCTAAACAAACCATAGTTAACAAGGCAGTTCAGTTCACTGTCTGCTTCTCTCTAAGCCAGGGGGTCTCCAACCTCTGCAACTTTTAAGACTGGTGGACTTCAACTCCCATGCTGGCTGGGGAATTCTGGGAGTTGAAGTCCACCCAGTCTTCAAGTTTCCATCTTTGGAGACACCCTAGTCTAGTCTAATGAAAAGAAGGACCAGGGGTGACATGATAGCATTTGACATTTGAGGGGCTGCCATAAAGAAGAGGGGGGTCAAGCTAGTCTCCAAAGCACCTGAAGGCAGGACAAGAAGCAACGGGTGGAAACTGGCAGTGAGGACAATTAACCAGTGGAACAGCCTGCCACCAGAAGCTGTGGGTGCTCCATCACTGAAAGTTTTCAAGAAGAGATTGAAGAACCATTTTTCTCAACGGGAAGAGCGTCTACGGGTGATGTGATAGCAGCATTCCGGTATTTGAGGGGCTGCCCCAAAGAAGGGGGAGTCAAGCTCGTCTCCAAAACACCTGAAGACAGAACAAGAAGCGACGGATGGAAACGAACCAAGGAGAGAAGCAACCTGGAATTAAGGAGGGATTTCCCGACAGTGAGGACAATTAACCAGCGGAACAGCCTGCCACCAGAGGTTGTGGCTGCTCCTGGAGGTTTTTAAGAAGACATCGGACAGCCATTGGTTGAGCAGGGGGTTGGACTAGAAGAC